TATTTTGTTTAAATGTGTGGAGCCCCCCCAAATGATCAGACCATGTAACGTCTATATTCATGGTCGTTTAAGAAGACAAAATCAATCAAATTTCAGTTTCTTTTATGCGGCCGTTGATGTTGTACGTGATTATAGTCGAATTCTTTCGAAGTATAAACATAAATACTCGAAGTTAACCATGTAATTACTATAAGAGTTCATTTTCTCATTGGTTGTCTGGTTTCAGTGGCGGCGTAAAGGGGAGGCGATGGGGGCGGTCCGTCCCGAGTACCAAGCATCAAGGGGTAACAACGACAACTCACTCGCACAGCTAGAGAATACTGACAGAAGAATCACTCTGCAAAAACATACAAATAAAAAATCGAGACGGTAGACAGACTGACAGACGGAAACGGGAGACCTATTTCTTCGTACTCTAGGGGTCATGAAAGGTCGAGAAAATGTAAAAGTAGATAGTCGGCCGACGGACTTGATTACAATACTTCCTTCGCTTACGTTTGGAAAGTAAAAATAATATCTTAATAGATTTTACGAAGCAATGAATGAAATTCTCGTAACATTTACTATTGTTCAACCTAAAGGTCGATTTATAAATTTGTCGCTAACGTTGCTATTCGCCGTTGACGTTGCCGTTGTAAGATAAATACGCAGCGAAGGTATGCGTTGTTTATATTTATCCGTTAAAAGTTGACGCGCCGTTGGGGTGACGTTCGAGATGAGCAACTTTTAACTTTCGCCGTTACGTTGCCGTAGACGTTGGATTTGCAACCAATCAAATTGCGGTAGGGTGCAGTGCTGCCAACTTGAAGGAAAAATCCCTGAAATAAGGGGGACATTTTTCTGTTTGACAGCACTAGTTCCACGAAAATCACATTTTGATAGAGATAATGAGGTCCACTAATATTAAGCGATTTTAATCACGGAAATTTTAAATAGCTGCCATCATTTTCTACATTGTAGCTTTCTGTGGGTACTTATGCATTGTTAAAGTTTTTTTCTTAATATGTGTAGTCTTCTTTCAAGTAAGGTAAAACATGAAAAAGTATGAGAAAGTATCGATTTTGCACTTATGCTCCGCCCCTCGGTCCGACAACGAATCAAAAATTCAACTGCTTGGGATGGATACTCGTAGGTGGGACTTAATTTTTGGCTTGTTTTTTCTCAATATACATAGTATTCTTTGAACAATATGATACTCAAAAACATGTTTTTTATTTTTTGTAGAGAAATAAGGATTTTGCAATTAAGCTTCTCCCCTTGGCTCACGAGAAATAAAAAACTCATCACAATTAAGATAGGGTGGCCTTTTTTCCTTAATATGTGTAGTCATCCTTTCACAACAAGAAACTTAAAACATGTTTAAAATGGTAAATTTGTATAGGGAAATATTGATTTTGCAATTATGCTCCGCCCCTCGGTCTGACAACGAATGAAAAATTCATCACGGTTAAGATCGAGACGGATGGGTGGGGCTTCTCATTTAGTTTTCTTTGTATAACACGATTACTTAAGAACATATTTCACATAGTAATTTCTCGTAGAAAAATAAGGATTTTACAATTAAGCTCCGCCCCTCGGCTTACGACGAATAAAAAAATCATCAAAATTGAGATAGGGCGGGTGGGGGTGGGTTATATTTTGCCTTTTTTTTCTTAATATACATACATACTTCTTTTCATAACAAGAAACTTAAAACTTGGTTATAATGGTTTTTGCAAGGAAATATGGATTTTGCGATTATGGGGCGAAGGCATTATACAAATTTTCCATTTTAAACATGTTTTAAGTTTCATGTTGTGAAAAGAAGTCTACACATATTAAGACAAAAAGGCAAATTGTAAGCCCGCCCACCCGCCCTATCTTAATTGCAAAATACTTATTTCTTTACAGTGAATTAAAAACATGTTTTTGAGTATCGTGTTGTTCAAAGAATATTTTGTATATTAAGAAAAAAAAGGCAAAATATAATTGTTTCAGGGGCGATGTAAGTTCTGCCGAAATAAACTTCGACCAGTTCTTTTATGTCCTGGGGGTTTTGATTATGAAACGTCGATAAAACATGAAAGTAGCCAAATGGATTCTATTATAATACTTTTCTAACTTTATTGCCGCTGAAAATACTGGTAAGAATGTTTATGTTTCTAATTTCAAATTTTAAACAACATAACCTACAAGAAAAATTGGGGAATTTGACCACCAACAAACTTACTAGATTTTCATGGCCAACTCTGCGTCGAAAAGATTGTGAATATAATAAGCGTGGAATCATACAACCTAGTATTTTTCGTATAATAAAATTAAAGCTTTTCAAAAACTCTATCAAATGTCAATTATACACAACGATGGATTAATAAAACACATGCGTTTTTCACTACGTTTTCTTCTATCAAAAAACCTACGCTCACTTGATGACTTTTTCAATTGAATAGTCGTTAAGTATGTAAATAATAAAAAAGACAAAAAAGTTACATAATTAATATTTATGTATGTCTGTGCAAAAATTTCAGCTTTCTAAGGTAAACATTTTTTAGTAAACTAATTGGTTTCACTTTTTTTCTGTTTTAAACACTATTAGCAAACAAAAATGAAAAAATTGAAAAAGAGCAAATTTTCATAAGCTTCATTTAATAATATTTTGAAATGACATTTTTTATTTATTAAACCAAATGATTTCGTATTTGTTTTTTGGAACCACCTATGTTGTCAGCTTGAACTAATAGATCACTGTACAGTATTTGTTCAGATGATACTACCCAGGAAAAAAGAATATTATTATTAAATATATAATTGCGAAGAAACAATAAACAATAATTATCATTTTTTACAGATTACCAACTAACATAATAATAAACACAATTCAATTGATGATTTGATGTACTTTTGAAATGACATCATAATACTTTTAGGAGCGATAAATAAGTAAATTTCTTAAAGTGTTATAAACCATAAAATTTTATTATACTTTTTTTTACTATTGTCGCTTACAAAATCGTTGTATTAGACGGATCTGGCAAAATAACTTTTAAATAATTTATTTTTACTCCCATCCGTTCTGGTCATATTGTCCCATCTGGTATACCTGTTCGACCGGATCTTTGCAGGACCGGCTTTAAATTCTCTGTCAGCATTCGTATGCACCGAGTTAAAATTGTGCCTGCATTATTCAACTACACGTACAAGAGCATGTTATGTAGAACACTTCAAGTGAAATTTATGTAACAATATTTTAAGAAGACGGTAACTTGTGATTAAAGTTTTATTATACTGGCGTTAATGACAGACCGGCAGACAGCCGACTAACAGGAACGGGAAATTTGCATTTTCTTTTGCCATAAGCTATAAAATGTCATATCAAATTTTAACTCAGATATTCGTCAAAAAGGCCCTAAAACTATACATCTCTTAGGTATTTTTCTGTAGGTACTACGGAACTTATAATTACACTTAATATATCCCTAATAAAACCTCAGTCGGCCAAACAAATGCACTTCACCGAAAAGTAGGTCAAATGCATGACAAATTTGTTAAATTTGCTAATGTCTGCGTCACAAATTTTTCAGTTCTAAAGCAGATTCAAGGATTCGAGGCGGATGCAATACTTAGAAAAAATGGCTAATATTGGAATTTTTAAAAGTTTTTAGGATTCACGCTCACGGCGAACCCAAGATTCATAAATTTAGAGAAAAGATAGGTTTGCCACATTTGTGGAACATGTGTGTGTAAAATTGTTTTTGCACTCATGACCTTTTTTGATAGCTTTCGCGCATTCACCAGAGTGCGGGAGGTCGAACTTCCCGCACACGTGCATTTAACTTCCCGTTGCCATGGTAACCTTAAAATACTCGGGTAGTGTCAACATTGTGACGTGTTGACGGCGCTGTCAATGGCGTTGTTTATAAATAACTCACAGTTAATCTCTTCAGTTTAAAGGTTTATTCGTCGCAAAAAATATTGTACGCAACACGTTCGTGAGCCTGCTTCCCGCATTCACGCAAATGCGGCACTCCCTTCGGTCGTGCCTCAAACAAGCGTTCATGCGGGAAGCAGGCTATCCCGAACTAGTTGCGTAAATTACTATTTTCTACTCATTAAGGTTGAAGTTTGTCATTTTCCCATCGCTGGCAGTGGATGAAATTTCATTTCACCCTCTAGTGGAAAAATACTCGGCCGTCTACGATTTTAACGGGTCGTCCAGCCTGAGCGTTTCGCAGCTAGCGAAACGTGTCGCGTATCGCCTGCACCGACCGCACCGTCCGCTTCGCGCGCTTCGAAAATCATGACGCCTAGGCTGGACGACCCGTTAGTGTTTGACGTTTAATACTGCTAGTTTACACAAGTGAAAACAATGAACATGAGTGAGACTGACGAAGTTTCTGAAGAAATTTTGAATGCTGCCAATGCGGCATTTTCGAATCTGATACAAGTGCAGTTATTGATACAGGAAGCAGCCAACTAAGTTTAAACAAAGATACAAGTTCAAATAATACTTACGATAAAAGTGTAAATATTATTGGTGATAATTGCACAAATTGTTCTATTACAGTTAATGTATTTCAAAAATAAAATACCTACCATAAACAAACATTTATTTCCTAATTTCTTAGAAAAAATAGTATATGCAACTCGCGGATGAAGAAATTTCAACGGCTCGAGTTTCTTTTTCGCACTCGCTCGTTGCACTCGCTCGTGTGAAAAAATCACTCTCGCCGTTGAAATTCAACTTCATCCACTAGTTCCATAATGTACTATTATTTATTTTTTTAATTATTTTTCATAATAATTTAAAATGTGAATTCTGATATTGTATGAGGCAGAGAACCTGTTTTTGCCGGGTGAATAATTCCCACTACTTATGTTGTTATGTTTTACATTTCATATATGAGCTTTAAAAGGTAAACATTATATGTATTTATCTTCGTTTAGTATATAATTTTTAATGTAATCTATGCATTGATGAAGATATTCTTATTACTATGATTAGTAATAATCATCTTTATTACCTTTCCATTGATTACAGCTTGAACGGTTAGGACGTTGGCACTCCTGTGGCATTCGAGAACCTCACCCGGAAGCCAGTGGCCTACTCCTGGATCGAACCAGATCAGGTCTCCGGTGCTCCACTCCATTTGTCTTCTATGCCCCAAACATATTCGTGAAATTCTGAAAATCCAACGGTCATTTAGCATTCACAATCTAACTAGAAGCCATTCTACTAATAATGTGTAAATTATACCATTTATCTAGCAAATCATCCATACAAATCGATTGTGTTCAGCACAAAATTACTATTCTGGTAGCGTTAGTCTTATGTGAAACCAGAACAAGGTGTATCCAATTTTTAATTTCAGTGTATGCTCTGTGAAATCGTAATGTTCCAGGATTTATTTTTGCACAAAAGGTAATAAAATGCATACTGCAGACATCAAAAAAATGCACCTTGCTGTTGCAAGGTCAGTTACTTTATTGTATTTTTCAAAACAAAGAAGTGGGGTTTGTATTACAACAGTAAATTTTATATGGGATTGTGGTAATTAGACAGTTACATACATATATCATTTATTTAAAATTTCTTATATAACTCGTGCTCACAGCGACTCATTATGTAATTTCCTTGGTAAACTATCGCTTATTATATCCTTATTATTTATTATTCATTACGTGCTGTTAATAGAAAGGTTTTAAAAAATCATGTTTTTTTAAATATCGCAGCATGTCGCTGATTTATGTCTCGGCCAGAATTTAAAAAATTAGGTATAGTTGTTTGTTGTAATTTATTTCCTGAAAGCGTAGTTAGCATTGTATGTTAATAGAAATATTTGCAGGATTAATTTACGGTTTTTACGACGAATGTATCACCAAACATTGCTTTTATATAAGAACACATTCTCATTCGATGTGAGTTTAAAAAAAATATATATGAATATTTTTTAATGAATGCTGAACTATTCAAAAAATGTCCTTGAACTTAAAGTGTGACGAAATTTCCAAGATTCGGACGATTTATGGTATGAGTATACCCAGTAGGACAAAAAGATAGAAAGTTTTGTGAATGTGTTCATAAATTAAAACAAAAATTATAAGGAATAAACATACTCATAAATACTACTTTAAATATACATGTCGTCTTGTCAAAAATTAACAAGAAGTTGAATGTTTTTTAATGAATTTTACATCTGATCTATGATTGTGTCATTAAAAACGATTGAAGTGATAAATTATAACACGTAAAACTGTTGCAATTTGATGATGTTCTGTTTTATTTGGAAACTTTTACAAATTCCATTAATTTAATAAGGCCACTAATATCGTCTGTGACTGAATTTTAGCCCCGATTATATATTTTTTGTATATCTATAACGATAACTATCAATGATACAGCTGAATGTTTCAGGATCTGTACAAATTAAGGTAATTAAAAGTAATTGACGTTAACTTAATTTTGTATATTTAATATAATCATTTGACATAATTTGACACATTCTTCCGTTTTTAATGATGTTTAGTGGTATTTCAAAACCCATGGCGTAACAAGCAGTAAAACCCACTATTAAATTTGAACTGTACCACGAGCTGGGTTCGGACAATGCCTAATTCTCATTCCATTCCTGTCGGACCCTTCTATAATCTGTAATACAGGGTGATTATAAATTTAACGATCCTGATGGTCGTTACGAATAAAAATTAACAATTTTTTATTCTATTTTATTAAATGATGATTACAAGACTTGAAACTATTCTAAGTTCGAATATAATAAAATAACGTTAGACTTTTCTAAGTCCGGACAAAATATAAAAGTAAAATATTTTATGATAAGACGGGAACGGCGTTACGGTATGATTTGAGACTTTTGACTGCAGATCACGACTCGAATGTTGAATACTTGAGTGTCGAATACTTGAATGAATCTTCTGCTCTTTCTTCTCCCTTATATACTGAGGTTTGACCTCCTTTGGCGAAGATAAGCTGCACATGGGCTGATGTAAGAGCTTGCATCAGAATTACAGGTCAACCAAGGGTCGAGGGTTGATAACGAGTACGAAACAAAGAAAGTTCGTTGCTCTAAGACGAATGTGCGTTGCATCTAGAAGTAGGCCAGTGATAACGAGTGCGTTAGCCTCAGGGTTAGAGGTCACTTCGGCAGGGTTGATAACAGAAGCGAAGAAGGTTCATTGATCTAAGACGAAATGCGGTGCATCGGGAACCAAGTCGAATAAAATGTTAATAATGGAGTCTTCGGACGTAACATAAATGATTGAAATAAATTTTTGAGTTGGCAATTTTGAATTATTGGCCGCAGTGTTAGCACCTGAGTTCATAGTTGTCAGTTCAGATCATTATAAAATTTTAAATATTTTGCCAAACTGACAAAAAAAATTACAGACATTAATAGTCACTTTTTTAAAATGTTTTTGCAAAAAAATAGTGCACAATTTAGTATGCTTTATGAACGTATGGCAAGGAAAATTTTGTCACAAATGTAAGTATACAGACATAATTAATGAACCCAAGTAAAGTGTAAATAAAAGTTATACATTTTATAGTGAATGCAACCACATACATTTGTGGACGCTATATGGCAAATTTATTAATATGTTATTTAAATGACAACACTCCTGGTAAATCCCGTTTGACTTCATGTAAATAACTCAAAGAAGCTAACCATGTAACCATGATTAGGTTTATTAATGAAACGTTCATGAATATTTTTTCCCAACATTGTTCCAACTAACAAAATTTCGCTTATGGTTTCCGATGCTGCGTCATTTATGGTCAAAGCTGGTCATCAGTTAACACTTTGTATCGCGTGATGTGTTTACCGCACGGTTAAACACAGTGGCGAAAGAATTGAGAAATTCATTTTTTAAATTAATAATAATAGTTTAATTAATAATGTAAAAAAAAAAAACTGTTTAAATCTCCTCTGAGGAGAGTGAGTTGTGCAATGAAAAACTATCAAATATTTACTCTTTTGCCACCGGAACCAGTGATAACGAGATGGTAAACTATCTGTTTTTAAGCAGAAATTGTTGTCCCTATAAAAGAACTAATTTTAAGTTATGAAGAATTAAATAATGAATTTTCTCATAAAACTATTCTTATTCTTGAAAATGAATCACTTCGACAAAAAAAGCTTTTCGTTTGAGTCATGAATTAACAGAAAAGTTCAAAAAGAAATAAAAGATTTAGTGATACTTTAAACAAATGTTGTGATTTAAATTTATTGCAGCAAGAAAACCAAATTTTCCGTGATTAATTGTCAATTATTCTTACAACACAGAACGTAGTGTTTAATGTAGAAATGTACATAGGTAATTACTAATGGAACTAATTAATGTACAATTTATTTTCCTCGTTATTTTAAAATATTTTAAAGATATTTCTAGAACATATTTTAGACATTTTGGGAATATTTTGTTCCTATGTAAGATATCATACCTGCACATTTTAGTCAAAATTCGGGCATTTAATTAGATTTATTTTTAACCGTTATTAATGAGATAACTGTTCATAAAGCCTCATGTACACATACATTTTTTGTAATACCTTTTCAGTTCCAGTTCAGTTTTGCAAAATTTTAGCAATCATACTTTACTTAATTTTGTGTAGTTGCACTGAAAAGAGTTGCAAATTTACTCTCGTGCCTGCGTGCATTAAAGGCACTTGGAAGAATTTGTGTGTGTACATGGAGCTTTACAATATATTTTTTTTTATATTCTAATTATCCCAGTCTGTTTTGAAGAAACATGTCGACTTCCTTAGATAAATAAAAAATTAATTTGCAACTTTAATTTTTACTTCCCGCGCGTAATCTAAGGAAGTATTGTAATCGAGTTCATCGGGTGACTGGTTGACCTCTAGAGTACGAAAAAATTGGTCTCTCGTTTCCATCTACCTGCCTGTCTGTCTGTCCGCCGTCCGTAACGATTTTTGTTAGACAGATAATCTCCGAAATTACTATACCGATTGTTGTCAAATTTTAAATGTATATTATGAATATCATGTTGATGATGAAACGATAACTAAACTTTGTCTAATCGTCTCCGCCAATAATGTGACGATGAAAGGTCCAAATTTTTGGAAACGAAATTATATATCAACGTTTTCCAATTTAATCTGCACAACCGAATGCTTTGAAATGTTCCAGATATTTTAAAGTTATTCTAAGCATGGTAAATTTTTCATCAAAATTATGCAAAATAGTTATGAGTTTTGACTTCTCATTTGTCATTGCATTAATATTTTTTAAAGTAAAAACTCGTTTGAAACATACGCATAGCACGCTTCTTTACATTTACTTTAACATTACATACATATGCTTATTTCAACTTATAGGAGTTCTCACAAAAAATAAAATTCGCAAAAAAAAAATTATTTTATAAGTTTTCGAAAATGTTAGATACGTTTCATTATTGTACTTTAGGAACCAGAGAAGTTCTGACGAAGTTCGACCAATTTTTTGTCATAACCACCATTAGTTGAAACAAAAATACGGGTACATTATTAACTACAGGAAAAAAATCATGTTATGCGTATGCTTTAAATAAAATTTTCTTAATAAAATTTGTGACGACATCAAATTTGTAAAGGAGACAATTGGGTAAAGTAAACTGTGATACTATTAAAATAGCATTATGCTACTAAAATTTTAGGAAAATGAGATGAGTCGTTTTTTATTTAATCAGTAAAATAAACCAGTGAATTCATTAACTTTTTGAGACCCCTGTATAAACAGTTCTAACAAAAAAAGGCGTATATGAAGAGAGCATATTTTCTGTACATTTCAAAATGAGATTAATTTTGCAAAAATAGATTCTGCTTAGCGATTGTTGAAGATAAATTTACATGTGTATTATTCCGAAAGATTTCTAAAATAAAGTGTAAAATTTTGTTGCGTAATTTTAATTTTTTTCTCAAAAAGTCGGTCTAAAGTTATTTATACCGAACAAATCTCGCCTCTGAAGTACAGACAACCAAGTAAAGGTTGTTGTTATAAAATTAAAGCTTGTAGATTTTATTCTGATTTATAGCTCCTATAAGTTAGAATAAAGATATGTGTGGACTGTTGCAGTACAGTCAAAGAAGCATGATATGTGTACATTTCAAGTGAGTTTTTCCGTAACAAAATTTTGTGATGACGTCATCAACATTATAGCAAGAAGCTGTTTGTTATAGTCATTGTGAAAATTAGAACAAGAAAAAATAAAGTTAAAATCCACAAAAAAAAATCGGCTAATTTTTTTATTTATTGTTGTACTTATTTTATGGTAACGAATTTGATTGCTTATCTCAGAAATTTGTACAAATTTTTAAAAATTTAACACGCAAAATATTAACTTCTTCAAAAAAAAAAATCGTTGCAAGATGTTTATTCTTTAATTAATTGCCTTATATAATATTCAATGTATTTAATTCCAATTAAAGTTACAAAACGACTCAAAGTGATTCTGTTTCCTCGATTTATAACTTCTGGAATACGAAAAATGGGATTCCCCGTTTCCGTCTGTTTCTCATCTGCCGGTTTGGCTGTCTGTCTGTTTAACGTCTCTCTGTAACCTGTCCGTCTGATAGCAATTTTATTAAACCAGTAATTATTATTACAGAAAGTGAATAATATAAGTACTTTAGGATTACCAGAAAACGCTGACCAACATTTGTATGTTCATCCATATAAAAAACTTAATGACGCCAACTCAAAATTTTGTTAAGTAAATCCTATTTAAAGTGTACAAATGAGTTTGTCTTTATGTTTGTGGTTTACTAATTCCCAGTTTTTTTCCTTTCTATCGTAGATTTTTAGAAAATTCAAAAACTGTTCACTTTTACTATCTTCACACAATATCAATTATGTAAACTATAAAAATTAATAACATTTTTAGGAGTCTAATGGTTAACTAAGTCGAATAAATTAATTAAAGTTATTTGGGTATATCGACCGGATAGCTTCAAAGGTGCATTTTAAATGATACATAAATTATCCCAATTTAGGACCAAAATAAAACTATAAATGCAATTAAATTTTATTTGATGAAAAGTAAGTATATGTTGAAGAGCGATGACACCATTTTGAACATATTTTTAAACTAAATAAATTATGATATTCACTTAATTGCTACTTCATTAATATGATAATATCGACGTATTCTTTTTTCTTTTCTAAAGATTTTCACTTCAATCAGTGTAATAAATGTACTGCAAAGATTAAAATAACTTTTACTTTCAAATAATTTGCTTTTATGTTGTCATAGTACCTGCAATCCTGCAAATAAAACAGATGATAACACGTGTGTGTAATGAATGATAAATCGAAAGTATGGAAAGTAAAATGTTGGGTTTTAGAAATTACATTTTACTGTTGCTGAAATAAGAAGAAAAGAAATACTAAGTACCCAGAACTGAATATCTTAACCGATGCCAGTGATGCGGCAGCGCCAACGTAATTTACAACACAACACGAAACCACCATCAAATTAATAAACTGACTTAAACATATTTACATTAATTGTTAGATACAACATTTGATTCATTATTTTGTTCTTTGCTTCATCAGCTAAGAATAAATAATTGATACATCCCACAATTACTCACGAACATCACAAATCTAGCCATCAAGGATATCAATCATGCAAAACCAATCTTGAAAAGTTTTCTCCTCACAACCTTTCTAAAATTTACAAAAATATTTGTGTGTTTAATACTTCAAGGTTTACATCGCATTCTTCCTACAACCTATAACATTCTTCAAAGACAACGCATGTAATGCTTATTTATTATTACTCACTGAATTAATTGTGGTGTTTATGATCGGTACATCAAAGTTATTGCTATTTCATAACGGTGAATTGTTTACAAAATATTCCAGTATTGCACTGTTCGTTTGATTTTAAATGCACGTATACGAGAATTAATTTACCATCAAAAATGAAAGTTTTCGCCTATTTATTTTACATTGGCAAGGACTCGCAGCACATGTCAATTTTCTGGTCCGCCAACATAAATATGCGGTCATTTCCGAGTTGTCGGTGTTGAATTTTAATTCAGGAAACGGTACGCATATTCCTATTTAGAAAAGTATAAAGCTATTGTTAAATTAAATAAATATTATGGTTAAGAGTAACGTTAATGAAATTATTAATTCAAAAGTTTGAACGTCTCATTCTTTCCCTACCAAAAGTATAATAAAAAATCACTATACAGGAGTAATTTAACCATTTTTAAAGTTAATAGCTTAGCCGTTTTCAGGTTTTAGATTCCCTAATAAATTAATCACGTGTGAGAAATACCTTAACATTTGTTAAAAAAGTGATTTTAATTAACTTATTTAGCCCCCATAGAGTCCAAATTTCGTTAATCTTTTACAAAACAAAAACAATTTTACTTCGAAATTTTTGTGATTTGTTGGCAGATAACACGATGGTATAAAAATCATTCACTTATTAAAAACTGGCAGACTGTTTATAAAAACTAACCTCGCTTGGTTCTTATCACCTTTATCAGCTAGCAGAATAAAGAAGTGAGATTAAGTGAGTACTTATTTTAGTTGTGTTTATTGTCCCCTCAGAACGTAGCGCTTGTATTAATTCAAAAAATGGCAGAAAGCAACTTTCCTTTAACAGTTTCTGAACTAAGTGAAGAAGACCGAGAGATTGCTAAAAAACTTTATGCAGGTAAGACGAAATTAAAACTTTAATACCCTTTTCACTTTTTATTTGTCTTCGATTTTTACAGAAGAGTTTGTCCAAGTTGGCGAAAAAAAGTGGTTTACACGAAAGTCTTTCACAAAATATGGTCCTGAATTTTATAATTTTTCGGTGAGGTCTGATGATGTTTGGTTACTGGGATATGAGCGATCAGGTGAGAATAAAAAAATTAAAACTGAATTAACCCCAAAACGATGCTATAATTTAAACAGGTACCACTGTTTCTCAAGAAATTGCTTGGCTTATTTGCAATAATGTCGATGTCGATAAAGCAAAACAGCTCACACTTATTCAGAGATTTCCAAGTTTGGAGTAAGCACGAAATTAATTTGTTTTTGCAGCGTTACTAAAGTTTTTTTAGGCATATCCTGTTTTATAGTCCAGAAGAGTCCAAGGACGAGGAGAAAAAAATAAGCGACCAGATAGTGAAATCGTACGCAGACCTGTCTGAAGCAACCGAGAAGCGTTTCATAAAGTCTCACTTACCATTTAGCCTTTTGCCGACAAATCTAACAACAAGTGGTTGCAAGGTAACATTAAAAAAAATCTTTAAAAAAGCATTTCAAAAATGAAATTCTAATTTTAGATTATCTATCTTATACGAGAACCCAAAGATGTTATAACTTCTAATTATGTCATTTATGAGAAGTTTTCGAAAATTAAACCTTTTGTTGAATTTCCAGTTTTTTGGGACGCCTTCAAAAAAAATTTGGGTATGTATTTATGATATATATTGTCAAGATAACTGTGTACTGTTGTAGTTCTTTGGGGGCCATATTTCGAGCATTTAAAAGAAGCATGGAAGTTTAGAGAACATGAAAATGTACTCGTGGTGTTCTACGACGACTTGTTAAACGACCAGAAAGAGTGGATCAAAAAAATTGCTCAGTTTCTTGGAAAAAATCTTAGTGAGGAAAATATCGCCAGCATTTCAGAATATTGTAAGAAAGCTTTCACCAAGAGCCCCACTGCTGATAAGACAGATGAAGAAAAGTTTGTGATAGAAACAGGAAAATGGAAGAAATACTTCATTGGGGCTTTAGAAACGGAAGTTGAAGATTGGATTAACGAGAACATAAAGGATACGGGTATCTGCTTTTCCTCAAAGGCCGAAAATAAGTGAAGTTTTTATTGCTGTTCAATGTTCATTTATGTTACAAAACAAATATTGTCTTTGATTCGATAATAAAATAAAATTTGAATGTATGTAAGCTTTATTTTGATTTTATTAATACTGTTTGGAGATATCTCAGAGAACTAGCGTTTTATAAACAGCTTAAAAATCTTATTTTTAATCCCATACTGGTCTTAGGATGAAGGAGTTTTAAAAAAATTTTTAGTTAAAATTTTTAGTAAAATAATTTTTTACTCTTATATTCTACAAATCAAGCTCTTCACTTATAAAAGCCTCAATAATATACTGTTTCTGCCATAGTACCAGCAAAGTTGTCAATGTCTTTGTGATGTGCTGTACAATTAATTCTAAATGATTAGGTAGTATTTAAAATACTTTTTTTTGACAATAATTAATTAAACACCATTCTTTTCAGTTGTTAGGATGAGCTATAAATAGAAAAGATTAAAATCTTTGTTCACATCAAATACATATTTGTTGTTGACTCACTACAGACCAACATTTATTTGCTATTAAAAAGTTATTTTTACTTCCACCACCAAAAGTGGATGATTCTTAAGGCTATTGTTTGAGTGAAGCGGTTAAAAAACAGTTCCTACTTAAGCTCCATAGCAATTTATGACAAAATAGTGCCTTATAACTTATAAATAATTAATTGATTGCTTATTTTTAATGATGTAATCATCTTCACGGTGAGGTAAATATTTTTACATATACAAAGTTACACTATGTAATCAAAATATACTGTCATGACAGAATTGAACAGTTCTTGAAATAATCGTTAAACAAATACATAAATAAACTAAATTTTACTTAAGGCCAGCGATATAAAACAAGTTTAAATCTATATTGACTGACCTTACATTTGCTCTTTTAACCTATTGCAGTTTAATCAAAATACGTTGCAATAATCCCACAGATTTTAGCAAAAAAATTGATTTGTATACTGGATTTACAAGCATCAGTTAACTAATGAATAAGAGACTGACCCTTAAGAGGAGAATGTAGTTTTATTTCTTGTGACACAATCTTTTCGTGTATTTTTGTATTAAAAAGGGTTTTTCGTGTGTACATTAAATAATGCAAATAATTTAATAATCAGCAAACCAGAAACAGTTTTTTTTTTTACTTTACAGACATAAGCTATTTTACTTTTGTTAGAATAAATAGTAGAAACTAATACTATTATTAAAGAGAAAATGGGGCAATTACAGCAGGAACAGAAACATTTCCTCTATTCAATTAATGATTTTCATTGATTTATCTCAAAGTCAATGTCTTACATAAAAGTTACTTTAAGGGGAGTTCCCACGTTTGGCTCTTATTCCGTTGTCAGCACATTTACAGAATGTAATATCTCCAGTGTTAACATATTTCTTGATATGAAATTTTAAATATAACCTGTCCACAACTTTCACTATATAATACGAGGGTAGTTTATATTGATATATTTTTAAAAATTTTTTGAAATTCTTGCTTCACGTATTTTAAAAAATCAATATCTCAATTACTAGTGGAAACTTTGGAATGCGGTTTCCATCACCGGTTTCTGTTTACAAAACTCTATTAATTATACTAGATGCAACTTTTTTTGTTGAAAATGAAATACAACAAAAAGAAGTTTCGAGCAGCTTCTACATCACAAGTTTCTTATTACTACATCTCTTTTCCAACAAAAAAAGTCGGCAATGTGTTTGGTACGATTTCCAGAGTTTTGCAAGCTGAAAACAGTGTTCAAAACCGCGTTCCAGAATTTCCGTAAATAATAATTGAGACAGTGATTTTTAAAAATACGCAATTCAAACATTTTACTAAAATTAAAAAATATATGTTAAAGGTTATGGATAGGTTGTATTTAAAATTTCACAACAATAAACCAGTTAATAATGAAGATATTACATTCTGAATATATAGTAAAATGCGACAAACATAGCGGTCTTAAATACCTAATAACGGGTGTTTAGTTGAAAAATCACTCAGAATAAGCGTTGGAGTATCATTTGACAGAAACGGCATGTTTGTTCTTATAACATCTAACATACAATACGTTAAGTTTTTGCCAAATGGATGTTATAAGAACAGACATGCCGTTTCTGTCAAATTATATTCCATCTCTTACTCTGAGTGATTTTTCAATTGAACTTCCGTTACAATGACTGTATTTTCCCAATTCCCTCCCTTAAATCTTTAGAATGAATAAAAAAATAGGTAAGAGTTATTATTTTGATTTGAGCACTTAATTCCAAATTTGTTCTCCATGTATATATGGCCAAAAGAATAATTACAACTCAACAGTAGTAGTAGAATTTGTCTCCGAAGGATTTTAACACTCGAAAAGCATTAAACTATAATTGATTCTCTCTACAATGCCATACAATTTCAAGCAGACATAAGTTTAACCTTTGTCTTTACAACAGTGAAAGTTGCCCTCTAAGAAAAATATTTTTTTGGGAAAGTATAGTCGACGTAGAAAATCATTGCTACAGGCCGTAACCGACAGATATCGCTAAACAACTTAAGACACTGTCAGCAAAATATTTTTCTAATAGAAACTGACCCCATTTCTCTCTAAAGAATAACCATTTATGATTTTATCAAACTTAAATGTCAGTAAAAAGTTTTGGTTTAAATAAAACACCTATTTTTTAACCTGTAGCCTTAACGCGGTTAATAATAATTATTTTTCTATTAAGTGAGTGAAATCATATTTTTTTTTAAGATTTCGCAAACGAAATACAAACAACACTTTTTCTGCAACTGCAAAATACTGTTTAAATTCCCAGTTTTATTAAAAATTTAAAAGGGAAGAACACTGAGTAGGCTTGTTTTCATTGTTACTAGGAGATTTCCAGCGAAAGCGAACAAGAGCGTCCGTATACCTCCTTAGATATGTACGAGACGGCAAGTGCCGCCATTCACAACTTACTACCTAAAAAATCCAAGAAACAATAGGAAATCGCCTATAAAAACTTTAAAGAGTGGTGCTTAAAAAAGTGGAGAAAACGTCGGAAAACGTTCTTATAGCTTATTTGGAAGACAGGTTCCAAAGTGCAAAATCCTTAACATTGTGGTCAAGTTATTCGATGTTAAAAGCCACAATTAATATTAATGAAAACATCGACATTACACGATAGTCAAACTTAGTGCCTTTTCTCAAGAAGAAGCCGGTTGGATATCGAGCAAAATAGTCGAAAGTTCTCACAAGTGATGATGTACAACGGTTTTTACTGATCAAGGTAATTTAAATGTATTGCTTGCATGATCATAAATAATCTAGGTAATTATTTAGGTAGCGCTAATATTCGGAATATCGGGAGCAATGAGGCGAGATAAATTGACGAGATTAACTGCGGACAATATCGAAGACAGGAGTTCAATTTTGATAGTGAAAATGCCGAATTCGAAAAAGAAAATGTGCAAATCAAGTTGTTGGCATCAACAAATTGGGAGCAATGCCAAGCATAGTGGCAAAATTTCTGAATCTTCAGGATGCTAACTAGTATACCGACCATTGTTTTCGAAGAACATCGCCACCCTTCTGGCCGATTCTGGTGCCAATATCACAGAAGTAAAACGTCGTGGGGGTGAACTCGACGACAGTAGCCGAGAGCTACATCGAAGATTCAATCCATTAAAAGAATAAAATATTAATAAATATATAATAAATTTCGAAAACTCTTGGAGAAGTAAAAACACTCGAGAAAATAATAGTAAGAAAACTGTTTTTGGAGTTGTGAACGTTGTGAGGTCAATGTTTATAACAATTACAATAATCTAGGAAGTTTAATTTTTTATTTTCTGTGTTTTATTGTTTTTATTCATCAATGTATTTTTTTTCTTTACACGTTTTGCATTTTTCAAATTAACAATAATGTATTAAGTCAGCTAATTACAAAACAATGAAATAGAAGAAAGAAAAAATAAATAAAATTAGTAATTACACTGACCGGCAAAAAAACCGGCCACCCTGAAAAATTTCGCAAAACCAAACTTTAAAAATTATTAATTTAACTAGTGATCGTTCCTTTATTAAAGAACCATTCACTACTGACACATGATGCACAAATTAGCAAAAAAAGAAGATAAATAAACGCAGAATTAAATTAAATTAAATTTAACAAAATAATAGAAACAGACCAAGTACGATATTTTCTTAATAAAACAATAAAGGAGGTTGTTGTTGTAAAGAGTATTTTTCATCATTTGATTATAAGTTTGGCAGTTAATAAACGTTTTCACGCGAAAACAATGCCGTTGACTCGTACAGACGTCTCTTAAATTATCGCTCTGTTTCTGTTATTTTGTTAAATTAAATTTAATTCTGCGTTTATTTGTCTTCTTTTTTTGCTAATTTATACATCATTAAAAGTTAATAATTTAATAAGTTAAATTAATAACTTTTAAAGTTTGGTTTTGCGAAATTTTTCAGTAAAAGTTCGATATATAAAGTATACAATAATTTAATTTAATGGTCTAATAACTATCACATTTGAAATACAAAGCAAAAATAAAAGAACTGCTACCTAATTGTTTTTATTAAATCATTTACTATTCTTTTAAATTGAGCGTAACTTAAATTAAATGTCTAAAATTTCAGTTACATGTAGAACACATTAAGTGTAATGGGGACCTTACTATAAAGTCTGACAAAAGATATAGTGCGTATACGACTTTTATTTAGTTCATAAGCCTTTACAGTGGTTTCCTCATAAAATTCAATAAATACAAGCAATGGCATGCTGCACAGACAATTAGGTAGGCCAGGCGCGGCATTGAAATAATTTTTATTTCTTACTTTTATTACAGTAGGAAAAGGTCTTCCCAGGCAAACGGATTTACTGCCCCCACTATATTTTTCGTCGAACTTTACATGTTATTAAAACATAAATATGCAAAGCATTCCGACAATTCAAACTCCGGTGCTAGGGAAGAGATTTATACTAATAATACACACAATTAAATTTGCGTATAGTGTTACACTGTTAATTATTTGCTACCTGCCTATGATAACACCTCAAGTTCATTACAAAGAATATGAGAAACGCGA